GTCAAGTTACCTTCTAAAATGCATTTGACTTCAGAAACTGATTTGATATAAATAAATATGTTAATGAATTAACAGTGTAGCTGGTGTCAGACGTGGCATTGATTCTACTGTGGGTTTCTAAATAACCGAGGTGTGACAAGGCCAAACCTAAGTCAATAGTCTATGTGGAGAACTTGTTTGCTGTGTGTGCTGCCATGAAGAATAAACCAATATTCTGGCCATGCAATGCCACACAACTCAATACAGTAGTATGTCAAGTGCTCAAGCAGTTGCTAAGCCACCCTGTCACGGCTAACAGGGCCACAAGGATCACCACTGCAGTTGTTAGTTTGTCAAGTCACATATTCATAGATATGGCCAATAAGGAGACACTGAGCCCAAATGGATCCAAGTGGTTGATTGCTTGCAGACACAGCAGAAGCAAGATCAGCATTGTGTAGGCACCGTATCCCTAGTCTACAATACAACACTGAATCACAGGTACTCAGTGGCAGCAGAGACGGTGGGTGTCTCTGCCTGTGAGAAGTCCACAGCCATAGCCTAAGGCAGTGAGCAGTTTTACCCCCCACAGCTGTACCCTAAGTTGTGGAAAGGCCTATTGTTTTGTTTTCTGAAACTTGGACAATGGATAAAGAATGGCCTTGTGTCGGCCTCCAATCATATAGGGAGCTGGTGTGAATATACCTGTGGCAGCTCCCACCATGTTGCCTATCTCCCCTTACTTCAAAGGGATTCAAGGTATTCTGCCAAGGCTCAGGTTAGTCTGCAGTCTAACTTTGCCTACATACCCTATGAGGTGACAAGTGGGACCTCTAGGGCACCGTGGAAGAGCATTACCCTAGAGTGCTTGGCACAAAACCAAAGACCACATGTTTGGTGCCTAGAAACATATCATCAATTGTAATTAGTCCCAAACAGAGCACTGTTTTGAATTGATGCCTGCAATGTTATAGAAAATATCTGGGATCCTGGAAATGAGATGACCAATCAAGAACACATGGTAGTTGCTGTGGGGGCTGTCAGTCTGTGGTGAGGCAGAGAGACACTTAAACAGAAGAGCAGCTGAAGTGCAAAGGACAAACACAGGAAAGGGCCCAGGGGGATAAAAAAAAACAATGGATGTCGTGGCCAGGAAGCTGGAGAAAAGCAAAGCAATTACTTGAAAGACAACATTTCTCCATTGCCTTTGCACCTTTTTTGAAAATCCTATATATCATGTCTGTGAGTCTTGCTGGATTCCTTTCAGATCTGTTGATTTTACCCCAATACCACATTCTCCTGATTACTATAGAATTCACGTGACTCTTCATATTAGGCAGTGCATGTTCCCCAAAGCTATAGTTCAGAATAGTTTTGGCTGTTCTGCTTCTAGAAAATTTTGAAAATTGACTCCAATGAACTGGAGCTGTAAAATTCATGCAGTTTTGGTGTGAAGGGCAGCAGATAAATGTGTTAGAAGCTGCAGAGGGACATGGGGGAAGAATGTGTGTTCCCCCTTAGCTTGGGGAATAATCTAGTATAGAGGGAGCCATTGATGGTTCAGGGGCAGGAGTAATCATTGCAGGATCAAAGCCCCTGGGAAAGTGGGAGTTATAGGATCCTGAGCTGAGTTGAGGGCCTGGCTTTAGTCAGGAGCACTACATACAGAGGGCAGCAGAGAATGCCAGGGCAGGCACAGGTAGACTGGGTTTGGGAAGCTCTGAGAGTTCCAGCAGATTACTTGTGTCCTCTGAATGAATCATTAGGGGAAGTCATTCAAAGGGAGGAGGGTTTCTGGCATTTTGTGAGTTCTGTAGTAGTGGAAGTAGGAAGAGCATGAAAGGGAGAAAATTCTCTGGTGTTTATGGTATGAAGGTGAAACAACTCAGAAGGTTTTGAAGTTTTCTCATCATTGCTCAGTAGCTCAGATATAGCAATCATGATGCGGTCATTATATTAGTAGGAGGAGCAGCAGTGCTAGCTCATAAAATAGATATGACAATTCTCGCCTCCTGAGGGACTCTAGTCGTTTGTTAAGGTTGCCATCAAAAACTACCACTAACTGAGTGGCTTAAACAGCAGAAATGTATTTTCTCACAGTTTTTGGAGTCTACACCTCTGAGATGAAGGTGTCAGCAGAGTTGGTTTCTTCTGAGGCCTCCCTCCTTGCCTGTAGTCGGCTGTTTTCTCCCTGTGTCTGCCTTAGTCCTCCCTCTGTACATGTCTGTGTCCCCATTTCCTCTTCTTACAAGGGCACCAGGCACATTGCCTTAGGCCCCACTCTATTGACCTCATTTCACTTAATTACCTCTTTAAGGACCCCACCTATGTCACATACAGTTACATCCCGAGGCACTAGGGTTTAAGACTTCACACTATGAATATTGAGCAGACACAATTCAGTATTCCTGTTAGCTTTATCTCAATACTGTTTTTTATTTCTCAGACAGGTTCTCACTCTGTTGCCCAGGTTGGAGTGCAGTGATGTTAACATGGGTCATTGCAGCCTGCAACTCCTGTGCTCCAGGGATCCTGCCATGTCACACTCCCTAGTAGCTGGTAGTACAGGCACGTGACAGCACACCAGGCTAATGGTTTATTTTATCTTATTGTTTTCGAGATGCAATGTTCCGCTATATTTCCCAGGCAAGTCTGGAACTCATGTGCCCAAGGGATCCTTCTTCCTCCTCCTCCCAAACTGCTGGGATTACAAGCATGAGACATCAAGCTCAGCCATATTTTAATACTATCTTCACTACTATTGTCACTATAATTTATTTCATTCTTGCAATTACCCTGCAAGGTAGGACGTAGTCACTGAAGCTCAGATGTTCATCTCTTACTAATCCTCACCAGGAATGGAAGTACTAGTCAAACAGACAAAACTCATGTGTTTTTGAGTGGAGTGTAACAGAAAGTCAGATTCGTTAGATTTCTTATCATGAATTTATTTGTTATTGTTAAATTACACATGCTCAGCACCAGTAAAGAAAATAGTAATGAAGAATCATTAAGCCCAGAGGTAAATCCACACTCTTATACTCTATTGGTTTTTGACAAAGTTGCCAAGCACAGACAGTGAGGGGAGGGCAGCCTTCAATAAAAGGTATTGGGGAAACTGTACATCCACCTGCAAATGCATGAAATTTGACCCTCATTTCTCACAACATAACTGAGGGAGGCTGGTATATTGCTTCATCTGGGAACTTTTAAAGACGTATTGACTGCTTTGGAAAATTACATCATTGCAGGGCATTTGATTCCTGCATTCCACTCTCACATAACAGTCCAGTATCACTTTACTTTGTAGTTGTTAACACCTGGGAGAGAGAATGAGGGGATTCCAACTTCCCTACCAACATGGTCTTTTCCAGGATCAGCTTCACTGTCTTCCTTTTTTTAAAAAAATTAAGTGTTGTCTACTTTGATGGAGAAAATTTTAATCTCAATCTTGCCTTATTTTTCATTCTAAAATTACTAAAGTGTATAATTGTTACATAGCTTTGTACTTTGAATTGTTTTAGTACTAATTTTTTATTTTATTGTGTTTTTTATTTATGTTGTTATTTCCATAGTACTTAAAAGTTTTTTTTCATTTAAGGGGTATTTTTTTTGTCTGTGCAAAGAATATGAACTCTACATATTACTTAAAGACTATTTTTGTGTATATATTATTTCAAGGTGGTTGACTCATTATTTTTTCTTCTTTAAAACCTGTTTAATTAACAACTAATTATTATATGTATTTATGGAGTACAATGTGATGTGTTGACACATGTATACAATTTAAGAGATGCATCAGTTATAAAAGGTACTCGATAGAAGTGCAGCACATTGTTTACCTCAGACCAGAGAAACTGTGGTTGTTAGTGTTTAGTCTCCTACTCCATATTTTACAGGTTTCTATGAAAGGCATCTATTATTTTTTATCAGAAAAAAATATTATTTCACATCAAGAAAATCAATATTAAATTCCCTTAGAGAGAATATCCAATCACAAATCTTTGATAGAACAAATAGCAATGTACTATCTTATTGGCATAGTAGTTGGGGTTTTCTAGAGGGTCAGAACTAATAGGATATATATATATATATATGAGTTTAGCAAGTATTAGATCACAGGATCACAAGGTCCCAAAACACGCCATCTGCAAGCAGAGGAGCAAGGAAAGCCATTCTGAGTCCCAAAACTGAAGAACTTGGAGTCCAATGTTCAAGGGTAGGAAGGTTCCAGTATGGAAGAAAGATGTAGGTAGGGAAGCTAGGCCGGTCTAGCCTGTTCATAGTTTTCTGCCTGCTTTATATTCTAATGGTACTGACAACTGATTAGGTGGAACCCACCCTGAAAATCGGTGGGTCTGCCTTTCCCAGCCCACTTACTGAAATGTTAATCTCCTTGGGCAGCATCCTCAGAGACACACCCAGGATCAATAATTTGCATCCTTCAATCCAATCAAGTTGACACTCACTATTAACGTCATATTTGATTATGTCAATTTTCCTTTTTCAGTATCATTTGGGGGGAGTGGATAGAGAGGAACCTAGTTTCTATTTTTTATTGGTTAAAATTAATGGAATATTGATTTCTGTGCAAGAAAGAAGGCTACAGTATTTGCTGTAAGAGTATTCCCTGACATCAATACCATCTTTATCTTTACTTCTTTCATCGTTACAGGAAAGGGAAAGAATCATGGTGTTTGGTCATCAGACAAGAAGCAAAAGTCCATCAATGTGAATGCCCAAGGATAACTCTGCTTCTCAGAAGAGCCATTTAGCAGTCTGTCATCTGTAAATTTGCCGTTGCCTCTTCCAAATATTTCCTCATCTAACATCACTTAGCGGTTCAGAAAGTGGCTATTTTTGTATTTTTTTGGTCCAAAACTTACTTAGGTTGGCTCTTTTACTAACTCCCAATCTTCTCCAGTATCATGACTCTGGAGCCAGTCTTTTTTTCTGTGACAGCAGCCACAATGACATTGATTCTTCTGCAAATGGGTCCTCTGTGTTTAGGTATTACAAGATCTTGAAGGAACCAAAAGCCTATTTCACATGTCTTAGTGGGCACTGAGCTAAGACATGAAAGCAGTTCCCTCCTCTGTTTTTCAACCTCAGATCCACTGGATAACAAAATTAATGAAATTTCTAAAATTAAAATGGGAATGAAAACATTATAGAAGTAGCAAAGGTTAAATTATGTAACTAGAAGCAGTTAACAATTAAGAGAAACTTTGTCCCTCAAAACATAAAAATTGCCTTCTTCATTTTGATTTATTTCAGATTTTTTTCTGAACTGAGATGTAACAAATTCATAAAGGCCAAAGGCCAAACACAGGCAAATTGTCTATCTTTTAAATTTTTGTGAGTATATAGTAGGTGTATATATTTATGGGTATATGAGATATTTTGACACAGGCATATAATGCACAATAATCACATCAGAGCAAATGAGGAATCTATCACCTCATGTACTTTGATTTTTAATTCAAGTTGTTAAATCTGCCTTAAACTTTTTTTCATTTTTGTATCATCCATCCTCTATTTATTTTTTTATTTTTATTTTTTTTTTACATAGAGTCTCACTCTGTCATTGGGGCAGGAGTTCAGTGGTGCAATCAGCCAATCAGCCCACTGCAACCTCTGCCTCCCAAGTTCAAGTGATTCCATTTGCCTCAGCCTTCTGAATAGCTGGGATCACAGGCACCTACATCCACTCCTGGCTAATTTTTGTATTTTTAGAAAAGAAGAGGTGTCACCATGTTGGCCAAGCTGATCTTGAACTCCTGACCTCAAGTGATCTGCCTGCCTCAGCCTCCCAAAGTGCTGGGATTACAGGCATGAGCCACTACGATAGCCAGCATCCATTTTTTTAATGACTATTTTAGTCTTAAAAAGAGTGAATTTCTCTGGACACAATTCCTTTGAAAGAATTGTGACAAAATTAAATTGAATTACACAATTAAAAAATTACAATGATAAACTTACATGTTTCTGGGCTGGGTTTGATGGTTCATACTTGTTTTTCTTTTGTTTGTTTTCATGGTTCACACTCATAATCCCAAGTCCCATGGGAGGTCAAGATATGGGGATCACTTGTTCCCAGCAGCTCAAGGCTACAGTGAGGTAGGAACAAACCACTGCAGTCCAGCCAGGGCAAAGAAGCCAGACGCTGTCTCAAAACCGAACAAAGAAAATCTTTAATTAATTTATGTGTGTCCTTAAAAAAATTGCATACCCTTTGAGGGAAGAGTGTATTGAGCATCCTTTTACCTCCCCATGACTTCTAACACCTAAACTTACAATGATGGATCAATTCTCCACACACAAAAAATATAGAGCAAAGCCAAGGAATACATGAAAACTGACAGGAGCAAGGACAACAAAATTGAGGAATATAAATCCAGAAAGAGAACTGAAGTATTGGGGCAATCCCAAAATAGTCACATGGCCCAATGGAACAAAATAGAGAGCCCAGAAGTAAATCCATGCACTTACAGTCAATTGGTTTTAGACAGAAGTGCCAAGAACACAGAGTGAGGGAAGGGCATCCTTCAATAAATGGTATTTGGAGAATGGTATATCCACATGGGGAGGAATGAAATTCCATCCTCATGTCTCACCATATACAAAAGTCAGCTTAAAATGATTTAACATCTTATAATGTAAGACCCAAATATCCATGAAACCCCTAGAAGAAAACATAGGGCAATAATGAGATTGGTCTCTGCAATGATTTTTTGGATACAATACCCAGAACACAGAGAAAGAAGCAAGAGTAAATGAATGAGATTATCTCAAATGCAGAAACTTCTACACAGTAAAAAAAAAAAACAGTGTGCAAAGACAACCTATGGAATGAGAGAATATATTTGCAAACCATACATGTGAGAAGAGGTGAAAGTCCACAGTATATAAGGAATGCAACAGTAAGAAAACAGATAACCTGATTAAAAACTGAGCAAAAACCCTGGCACAGTGGCCCATTCCTGTAATTACAGCACCTTGGGAGGCCAGGAGTTTGAGACCAGTCCTGGAAACATAGTGAGACACTGATTCAACAAAAAATAAAAATAAATTAGCTGAAGTAACAAGGCATCCATGGGAGCTGATACAAAAGGGTGACTAGGCCCTCTGAGGAGAGATGAGACACACAAACTGTGTCACCTCTGGCAGAGCATGTGTGGAAGAAGTGACAGTCATAGGAGGGGGTAAAGAGGAAACAACTTCAGATGTAACAAACTCATATAGGAAAAACTCAGGCAATCGCGCAAGCTGGAATCCCTGAAAGTCTCAGACACAGCTGGAATCCACATTCACTTGCCAGCTTTTTCCTGTACACCTCCATCTGGCATTCATGAGGAAGACTAGGGGAATCCACAGAGGCCTGGGGACATCCTCGGTGGCAAGAAACCCTGATTGCTTCCAAATCTTGTCCCTTTATAAAAAAATAATTTTTATTGTGTACATTTGAGGTTTACAACATGATGCTATGGGATACATAAAGATAGTAACATGGCTACTGTAGTGAAGCAAATTAACCTATTATATCATCTCACAGTGACTTTTTTATGACAAGAACAGCTAAAATCTACTTATTTAACCAAAGTACCTAATATAATACATTAACAACAATACTCATGTCATACCTTAGGTCTCTAGACTTGTTCATCCTACATAACTGAGACTTTGTATCCTTGGACCATCCTCTCCCCATTTCCTCCCCCATCTTCCCCTGTCCCTGGTCATCACCAATTTATTCTCTATCTCCCTATACTCTATCTTTTTCTTTCTCTCTCTCATTCTCTTTATTCTTTCTCCCTTTCTTTTGTTCTTCCTTCTTTCTTTCATTCCTTTTGTTCTTTTTCTTTCATTCCCTCTCTCTCTCTCATTCTCTCCCCCCCAACTTTCTTTCTGATTGCACACATAAGTGGGATCATGCACTATTTTTCTTTCTGTATCTAGCATATTTCACTTGGCAGAATGTCCTCCACATCCATCCATATTGTGGAAAATGGCAGGATCTCATCCCGATTTACTCTATTGTGTAAATACACCACTGAAACCTTCTCTTACAGAAGCAATGTCACCAGTCATTGAAGAGGGGCAAGAAATTCCCTCAGCATAAGTCCCTAGTGAAAGTCTAAGGAGAAATGGATGCAAAGATGTTTCAGTCTGGAGAAAGGGCAGGAAACCCAGTTTCTCCCACTAACCCACACTGATATAAAACAGAAGTCTGATATTTTGGGAGAAGAAAAGGAAAACTCCCACACAAGTTTCCCCAGTGAAACAGGGAAGAATTTGGCCAACACAAATGGAGCCTGATAGGAATGCTGAAAAAGTCCTGCCCCTGAGGGTTAAGCATAAAGGACTTGCCTAACACTGAGGTTGAGCAGGAAAACTGAGAAGCCCCCTGCCTCCACCAAGAGCAGCAGCAGTCACCCCCTGGGAGAGAGCCTATTGTAGCCCGGCTGTACATGCCGTGCTGAGTGCCACATCAGCAGTAGGATTGTAAGGGGTGGAAGGTATCTGAGTAACCAGCGGCAAATCCGTACGGACCTGTAGCAACCTCAATTCTTGCCTCCTCAGAAGAAAGAGTTCTACTGAGGGGCATAAGGCAGAAGGAGAGACCAAGGCAAATTTCAGAGCAGGAGTGAAAGCTTAGTTAAAAGCTTTAGTGCAGTAAGAAAGGAAACAATGTAGGTGATGGGGAGGAAGGCAGCAAATCACACTGCCACGTGTGTTCCTATGCAACAATTTTGCATGTTCTTCACATGTACCCCAAAACCTAAAATACAATAAATAAATGGGAAAAAAAAAAAGAAAGGAAGCAAAAGACAGGAAGGAAAGTACACTTGGAAGAGGGACAAGTGGGCAACATGAGAGGCCAAATACCTGGCATGACACTTGACTTTTAGTTTTCTACGTTGGCATACTTCCAGAATCTGAGGTTACTTCTCCCCACTCCTCAGATCTTATTTCGAAGCTGCTGATCAGCTTCAGGTGTTTTCCATCTATTGGGAGACTGCCTTTCCCTAGTGCCGGCTGTGACCATTTATTACTTTAGAGAAACAATTAACAGCTGCTTGACTATCACCTGATGGTCACCCAACATTCCTGGTGTGTGTGTTAGGGAGAGAACACAACTGATACCAAGCTCAGTTACTAACACGATTGGCTCAAACACCAATGTTAATGCCTGGAAGAGAAGGAAAAAAGAGACATGTTACATACAGTAAAACAAACTTAAGAAGGGTAGTAGACTTCTTATCAGAAGCTATACAACCAAGGATTCACTAATGAATTCCAATAAATTAAAGTAAAACAAAAGCTTTAAACAAGCAAGCAAATAGGCAAAAAGCTGACATTATTCATTGTCAGCAGATCTGTCCTACAAAATGTTTTAAAGGAACTTCTTCAAGCAGAGTGAAAATTATATCAGAAGGAAATTTGAAACCACAGAAAGGACTGAATAGAGGAGGAAGTGATAAAATTGTGGCTAAATCAGAATGCTTTTCTTAACGTTTAATCTGTTTAGAAGATCATTGACAGCTTACAGCACAAATAGTGATGATGTACTATGAGGTTTTTCACATGTGTAGAATTAAGTGTAAGAATGAGAACATAAAGAACAGAAGGAAGGAAAGGGAAATAAGATATTGCACTGTACCTGTAGTGGTATAATATGATTTGAAGGCTTACTGTGACTTAAAGATATATAGAGTAATCCTTAGAGCAATCCCTAGGAAACAAAGGTATATAACTAATAAGCCAATGATGCAGCTGGAAATGGTGTAGAACAAAACGTTAAACTGATATAAAGGAAGAAAAGAAACAGGGAAACAATAAAAAAACAGATGTAATAAATCAAAATATTTTGAATATTTAAGGTGAACTATTTCCACATTCATTTGCTTACACTTGTCTATTAAAAGTCAGAGTTTGGCCTGGCCCAGTGGCTCATGCCTCTAATCCCTCTAATTCCATCCCTTAGGGAGGCCAAGGCAGGAGGTTGAGGCCAGGAGTTCAAGATCATCCTGGGCTACAGGCGCGTGCCTCCATGCCTGGATAATTTTCTGTAGTTTTAGTAGAGATGGGGTTTCACCGTGTTAGCCAGGATGGTCTGGATCTCCTGACCTCATGATCTACCTGCCTCAGCCTCCCAAAATGCTGGGATTACAGGCATTGAGCCACCACGCCAGCCAGACAACAGTTTAATCAGTCACGCCTACTTAATGAAAACCTCAGTCAAAACCAAAAGGACGGGATTCACAGAGCTTCAGGCTAGCTGAACATATGGAGGGCAGCATGCCCATAGTGGGCACAGAAGCTCCCTGCCCTTTACCCGATACCTCGCCTTATGGGTCTCCTCCTCTGCTTCCTTTCTTAGGGCATCCCATTTGCCACAAAACATGTGAGAAGTCCCTAGGCTTTAGAGCTGGATGAAGGAGTTAGGGCCTAGGCAGAAGAAAGGGACAAGCAATCAAGGCAACTTACTGAAGCAAGATGACTTGGGCCCTACCTACACTGTCTCTTTACAGACTATGGCACGAAATAGCCATGGGTTTCCATCCTGCCTCTCACACACTGCCCATGATATGGTGGGCAAGATACTTACATCCTTTGGGACTGTTTTTCCGCTTCTAAAGTAGAAATTACCTTATTTACATGAAATACTTGCTATGAAGAATAAAGGAAATAATATCAAGTAGGCTTTACATTGCAGAGAAATTTGGTTTACTACTTAGATTTCCTTTTTTCCTTTAGAGTTCAAACTTTTTCATTTCATTTGTCCTTACAACTACATTTCTAGTGTGTGATA